TGTCTCCGCGGGTCTTCACCAAACTCGCGGAGGGTGCCCTAGCGCCCCTTCGGCTCGCGGGCATTCGCATACTCAGTTATCTCGACGACTGGCTGATTTTAGCCCACTCGCGGGAGCAATTGATTATGCACAGGGACGAGGTGCTTCGGCATCTCCGCCTACTGGGGCTTCAGGTCAACCGAGAAAAGAGCAAACTCGCCCCCGTGCAGAGGATTTCTTTTCTTGGGATGGAGCTGGACTCGATCACCATGGTAGCGCACCTCTCCGAGGAACGCGCTCGCCTGTTGCTGAACTGTCTGAGGGAGCTCGACAGCAAACTAGTGGTCCCACTGAAGTTCTTTCAGAGGCTCCTGGGGCATATGGCATCCGCAGCCGCCGTCACGCCGCTCGGGTTGCTCCATATGAGACCACTTCAGCACTGGCTTCACGATCGGGTCCCCAGACGCGCATGGCACGCGGGCACACACCGGGTTTCGGTTACTGCGCTGTGTCGCCGCGCCCTCAGCCCTTGGAACGACCCCTCGTTCCTACAGGCCGGTGTGCCTCTAGGACAGGCGTCCAGCCATGTTGTTGTTTCAACAGACGCTTCCAACACGGGTTGGGGGGCCGTGTGTCGCGGGCATGCGGCTGCGGGCCTCTGGAAGGGTGCCCAGCTGCATTGGCATATCAATCGCCTAGAGCTGTTGGCAGTGTTCCTCGCTCTCCACCGCTTTTTACCGGTGCTGGAGCGGCAACACGTGCTGGTCAGGACGGACAGTACGGCGGCGGCGGCGTATATCAACCGCATGGGGGGTATGCGCTCTCGCCGCATGTCTCAGCTCGCCCGCCGTCTGCTCCTCTGGAGTCACCCGCGGCTGAAATCGCTGCGCGCCATTCACGTCCCAGGCACGCTCAATCGTGCAGCCGATGCGCTCTCACGACAGCTGTTACGCCCTGGAGAATGGAGACTCCACCCCGAGTCTGTTCAGCTGATATGGGCGCGATTCGGGGAGGCCCAGATCGATCTGTTTGCTTCCCCCGAGAACGCTCACTGCCAGTTGTTTTTTTCCCTGACCGAGGGCTCTCTCGGCACGGATGCACTGGCCCACAGCTGGCCTCGGGGCATGCGCAAGTATGCGTTTCCCCCAGTGAGCCTGCTCGCGCAGTTTCTGTGCAAGGTCAGGGAGGACGAGGAACAGGTTCTGCTAGTTGCGCCCCTTTGGCCCAACCGGACCTGGATATCAGAGCTCTCACTCCTCGCGACGGCCCTCCCCTGGCGGATCCCTTTGAGAGAGGACCTACTCTCTCAGGGACAGGGCACCATCTGGCACCCTCGCCCCGATCTTTGGAACCTCCACGTGTGGTCCCTAGACGCGAGGAAGACTTAGGTAACCTACCGACTGCGGTGGTTAATACCATCACTCAGGCTAGAGCCCCCTCCACGAGGCGCGCCTACGCCCTGAAGTGGAGTCTATTCACTGAATGGTGCGTCTCTCGCAGAGAAGACCCCCGAAATTGCCAGATTAGTGTTGTGCTCTCTTTCCTTCAAGAGAAGTTGGACAGCAGGCTGTCGCCCTCCACTCTCAAGGTTTACGTGGCCGCCATCTCCGCTTATCATAGCGCGGTAGCTGGCGGCACCGTGGGAAAGCATAACCTGGTCATCCAGTTCCTTAGGGGTGCTAGGCGAATTAATCCATCTCGCCCCCCTCTCATGCCCTCTTGGGATCTCGCCCTCGTTCTCACGAGTCTGCGATCCGATCCCTTTGAGCCACTCGAATCAGTATCTCTAAGATTTCTGTCCCTGAAGACAGCTCTGCTGGTTGCGTTGGCCTCCATCAAGAGGGTCGGGGACCTGGAGGCATTTTCGGTCAGTGACTCGTGCCTGGAATTCGGGCCGGATTACTCTCACGTTATCCTGAGACCCCGCCCCGGTTATGTGCCCAAGGTTCCTACCACCCCCTTTAGAGATCAGGTAGTGAACCTGCAAGCGCTGCCCCCGGAGGAGGCAGACCCAGCCCTTTCTTTACTTTGTCCAGTTCGCGCTCTGCGCATTTATGTGGACCGTACTCAGAATTTTAGATCATCTGAGCAGCTCTTTGTCTGTTATGGCGGTCGGCAGCAGGGAAGTGCCGTATCGAAACAAAGATTATCCCACTGGATTGTGGATGCCATTTCACTCGCTTATTCGAGTCGAGGTCAGCCGTGTCCCCCGGGAGTACGTGCACACTCCACTCGGAGCGTTGCATCCTCTTGGGCGCGTGCACGCGGCGCCTCTCTAACAGACATCTGTAGAGCTGCGGGCTGGGCGACACCCAACACATTTGCAAGGTTTTACAATCTGCGAGTGGAGCCGGTTTCCTCAAGGGTATTAGGTAACCCTTTGGTGATTGAGGAGACAACTCGGTAGGGTGTTGAAACACGCTTGCTGCGCCATTCTCCCTAACACGGAGGTACGTGCGCCTTTTTTATCTGTCAGTAAAGTTCCCCGTCAGGTGAGCCCTGCAGATTCCTCCGTGGCCCCCAGCACTGACTCAGCGGAGGAGTCACTTGCTGGCCCACTACGTTGTAGGTCTGCCCGCTGGTCAGCCCGCGTTTTGGGTATAGGTGCCTGCTATGCGTGATCCCCACTAGGCGATCCCATATGCTTATTCCGCCACGGTTAAGTCCCCCCCCTGGGCGGACCCGTGTCTTCCCTCTCCGCTAACCACTCTTTGCTATGCGTACTCCCCCTTTTTAGGGCTAGTCCATAGGTAAATTCTGCCATCTATCCCCCCCTTGGGTAACGGATGGCCTCCGCAGCGTCCTCCCTATCGGGATTGCACGCTTCCCAACGTACTGTCGTATTTCCTAGAATTATCTAGATGCTCACGACTTCCCAAAAAATATATCTAAATCCGTAAAACTTCTGTTGAAGTAGGATAAATTAGGGCCAGGGACACGTTGGAGGACCGCGCCCCCCATGATGTGGGTGCGTCACGCTTGCTTGACTATCTCCTCATCGGGGGTGTTGGTAAGGTGCAGTCATTATGGCGCTTTCCATATTCTCCCATTCATGGCACTGAAGTTCCCCAACCGAAGGGGAACGTTCGAGGTTACAGAAGTAACCCTTCGTTCCCCGAGGAGGGGAACGGAAGTGCCATATTCCGTCGCCATAATGACTGTCCCTTAGCTGTTTGAAAGTCTCTTCAGCTTAAAAGGATGGCGTCTGCTGGCTTCAGGTGTGCTTATATGCTGAGATGATTGCAGATGTCGCACACCTGCGCAAGCTTACGCTGCCAATTAATTTCATTCATTGGCCCGTTCAATACTCTCCAGATAAGCGGCTTCTGATCCGAATCCTCCCATTCATGGCACTTCCGTTCCCCTCCTCGGGGAACGAAGGGTTACTTCTGTAACCTCGAACGTTTGTTGGCAAAAGCTGCTGAACGCCGCTTGCCTTTGACAGCAAGAGCCGCTATATCCAGAGAACCAATCAGAAGGTGCGAATCGAATCATACGTTTTCAATGTAACGGTGCGCTGATATGCCTGCTTTATGAGGAGACATACTCTGCTTTTGATTACAATTTTAAAAGACCGAGTTTGATGAACCTGTCCGACTGTCAGTGAATGGCAAATGAAAATGTCCCTTACTTCAAAACTCTGCATTATTAGCAAAAGAAAACACAACGTACAGTCGGAGGTGTAGCATGCATTCATAACAATTTTTTGCACAGCGCGCTACTTTGAATGAGTCTGATTTACTATACGTTAAATGGCAACTGCGTTTCATGAAAGACCAAGTTAAAATGCCGTTCATTTATCCCACATGGATGCTATTAGGATAAACAAGAGACCAAGGCCTTAAGTATGGTGAGAATGAATGAATGACAGCTTCTAAAATTGTCTGAGAGGCATCCCCTTTTTGCCCAGTAGGCCTACCTTGTGTTTTATTTGCTAATTTAAGCTATTTTTAAAAGATAAATATAATATATAAAACTATACATTATGTGTATTACTTCATAATACATACGTCTGATAAGCTTTTTATATTAATGGACAATGCACAGATATTGATGTTTCATAATGTTTTATACTACATTATTTGAATCACCACGCTTACAATGTTTGCAATGTTAACATTGTTCTACTTACATTAAATCTAAATCCTAAATATCAGAAATGACAACAGATTGTTCAGATTTAGTTAATGTCAGTTTTGATGTCATTGATTAATGCTTTTTTTTTGACAATTTTATTCATTCATTTTCCTTCTGCTTTTTCCCTGGTTTATCACAGTGGAATGAACCGCCACTTACTTGACACATTTATGTATTTATGTGGCTTGTTTATGTGTTTTATGTTTGGTAAAATTATTTCTAATTGCGTCTTTAGTAATTTTCACCTAATTACAATGTCTTGTCCCAATAGGTGGATTTAGAGGTTGTTGCATAAAAAGCAGACGTGGATTTAGCTGGTTTTGAAGCAAAAGAAAATCTACCTTGTTAAAAAACAAAGAATTGTCTCAAGTGATATTTAAAAAAAAAAAAGTTATTTGATTTACTAGCTAATAACCTCCTCATCACATATAAAATGAAACTTCTGAATCTAATTAGAAGAGCCTGATAGAAAATGCCCATTTACAAGAAAAGAGGTCTGATGGATTTCGAGGGTTTTGCATCTGAACTCTTCATATGTACTTTAGTGTGTGTACAAAATAAAAGTTTATTTTGGCAAAATTTACTTCTCTAGTGAGTTTAGGCTGATTTTTTTTTGTTGATTTAAAAATGAAGTATTTTAGTTTTTACACATGCAGGTTGGCAATTTTAGGTTTTAAGTCCATGTTCAAGTGTGTTTTTATGCCATTGTAAAATTAAAAAGAGTGATGTTGGATTAATCAAATACTGATCTTCCAACTTCAATAGGTTTTTATGTATTCTTAGCCTTTCAGAATAAAGACACATGGAGTGTTTTATTACAGCCTGCATAAAAGAGTCTGCCACATTCATATAAGCTAATTCCAATTTTGATCTCTTTCCTGCAGTGCTGGCATTGCAGTCGGTTTCTATGGAAACGGCGAAACGTGCGATGGCGTGACACGGCTGACATATTCCTTGCGCCACGCTAACCAAACAGTGGCAGGCATCGACAAACTGGTGAGTCATGCATGTTTCTGTTTGTTCTAAGCTGTGAACATTTCGCTGTGTCCATGGGTCCAAAAGACACTTTGCTGTCCTTCTGTTCCAAGTCCTAAACACTTTACCACCCTTTCCAAGCACTTCACCACCATTGTCATTTTACAGCTCTAACTAATAGGGTTTCAAATGAGGTACTAAAGTACTGTTTGTTCCCAAATGTTCACTGCCTCAACTGAACACCTCACTTTTGTTACTAGAGAGTTCATCGCCCTTTGATCAACATTTTAACTTGCTCCGGTTCATCTCCATGGCCATCGCTACAACTCCCAGCATACAGGATTGTTAAATGTAAATGCATTCATAAGGTTGAGAGTGTAATTGTTGTAAACGGCAGGCCAGGACTTCTTGTTGAATGCAATTGTGTATTAAAATATACATTTGCAGATTTTTTTCGTCTGTAAGATAACCTGAGAAATAATTGAGACCTTTAGTCCAAATGCATGATGCAACCAGTCAAATACACAAATAACCTTGCGACAACATCGAGGGAGATCTAGTGTATAATCTGTGTGTTGTCAGGGAGCTGCTAACAACAAGCAGGGTTTTGAAATGGCTTTTCCCATATGGATATCTGATATATGGCCTTTTATGAACACTTTTTTTTTGGTAAATTTTGAATTATATGTTGCACATAGGACAAATTTTATATGTGAAATTCAATGTGCCCTTGCATGTCATCTATGTAATGTGCATATTGCCAAATATCATTTTTTTCGGACTGCAAATTAGCCATCGCCGCATCCTAGTCGCCATGATTGAACATGCAATGGATCAGAAAGAGTCAGAAAAGACACCCCAAAAGTTACAAAATTAAATTGAATTCTTCTTAAAACTATTAAAATCCAAGATATGACTGATAAGGATGTAACGGTATTGTAAATATTGTCATACCGCAATATAAATTTTTTTCTATATTATAGTAGTCGCATGACTCGGTAAAACTATAAGTCTTCTGAGAAAATTTGCTCAGGCGAATGAAGCGAACGGGAGGTAGCGAAAACTACAATTCCCATCAGCCCATGCTTGACCATCATCCCTTGCGGTCTTGCGGTCGCTACAGATCCAGTAATGCGGAAATGGAGTGTGCTGCTAGAAGCGGGGATGAAAAAGAGCTGGAAAACTCTAAAGCGGGTGTTGTCGCCACGCGCGTACTGAATAGCGGTGTTGTCGCGCGAGTTCTTATCAGCTGTGTTGTCGCACGCGTACTGAATAGCGGTGTTGTCGCGCGAGTTCTTATCAGCTGTGTTGTCGCGCGCGTACTGAATAGCGGTGTTGTCAGCACACTGTTCAGATTGATGCAGACATGAGACTCATGGTTTGTCCTCTCAAGTGGGGGAAAGACAGTGCACAACGTTACCCACTGCTGTCAACCTGGGCCAAGTCATATCTCTCTTGTCCCAGAAACCTCAGTCCCAAATGAGAGGGTTTTTTTCTGTTGCAGGGGACATTGTAAATACCCAGAGATACCAGCTTTTACCAGATTATATTTATATGATAATTTTCCTTTAAACCCATCTCTATCTAAGTGAGTGAGTGATTAAATGTTGAATGTGATGAGTTTTCAACAATACTAAATTGAAACTTTATTTTTTTACTTGGTTTAATATTTTTTTGTTATTAAAATTGAAGTTCCTGTTTCAAAGCTTACAGATAGATGGCTAATTTGTATGTCATTGACACTTTTGGCACTTTTTTGGAGTATTTTCATAAGTTTTGTTTTTTCCTGTAAATGATTCAATAAATACCGTACCGTGACATTCATACCGAGGTATTACCGTACCGTGAAATTCTGATACTGTTACATCCCTAATGACTGATAGTTCTTATATGAAAAAAAAAGTTACGAATGATAAGAGTTATATTCAAAATTCAATGTTATCAGAGAGCAGCTCAACATAACACGACTACTCAATAATTTCTGTGCATGCCATGCACCCCCTTCAGCTTTCTAATTGAGTTAAATGTTTCTAATTTTACTTTCAAACTTATGATGTCAAAATGACAGTAATGTAATTGATGTGCGTCTGAACTAGGGCTGCACAACATATAATTTCGGAATCGATATATCGCAATGTGGGAATCTGCAATCACATCGCAGGATCAGCAATGTTGAGTTGGGATTTTTAGTAAAGTTTAACCTAAATTAGAGTGAAAGATGGATGTGTTTTTAAGACCCGTGACTGTGTAAGATTTAAGCAAAGGTGTATGTAAAACAAAATTATTTGCATTTAATTATTTATACAATGAAGACTATACACTATAACGTTATTTTATATACTAATATTAGTGTTATTAAATTTCTGTACCTCAATACTGTTAGACTCCTCAGAAAAACATCAAATTAATTTCTAGCGATTCGGTTGTATTTTATTTTATGCAGATAGTTGACTACAAAAAAATCACAATCAATGTAAAATTATGATTTAAAAAAAAAGAATTAAGTCATCTCGTGAAATTATATTCATATTGCAATATACAGTTAAAGTCAGAATTATTAGCCCCCTTTTGATTTTTTTTTTTCTTTTTAAATATTTCCTAAATGATGTTTAACAGAGCAAGGAAATTTTCACAGTATGTCTGATAATGTTTTTTCTTCTGGAGAAAGTCTTATTTGTTTTATTTCAGCTAGAATAAAAGCAGTTTTAAATTAAAAAAAAACATTTTAAGGACAAAATTATTAACTCCTTTAAGCTATTTTTTTTTTTGTTTTGTCGATAGTCTACCGAACAAACCATCATTATACAATAACTTGCTTAATTACCCTAACCTGCCTAGTTAACCTAAATAACCTAGTTAAGCCTTTAAATGTTACTTTAAGCTGTTTAGAAGTGTCTTGAAAAATATCTAGTCAAATATTATTTACTGTCATCATGGCAAAGATAAAATAAATTAGTTATCAGAGATGAGTTATTAAAACTATTATGTTTAGAAATGTGTTGAAAAAATATTCTCTGCATTAAACAGAAATTGGGGAAAAAAATAAATTGGAGGGCTAATAATTCTGACTTCAACTGTATGTCGCAAACTAAATATCACAGTCAGTTTTTGTCCAATGTTGTGCAGCCCTAGTCTGAACCCTGTGTAAACACAATACCACAAATTACCAGAGAAAGTTTAATATGCAATGGAAAGTTTCATTTTTATCATATGTCTTGTTTGTTTCCAAGCTAATTTTTCTGCAAATGTGAAAAATGTAAGTCACAAAATATCTGATGCAAGGTGACATTAACAAGCAACATTTAGTCTTTTAAAATAAAAATAAAAATAGTTTGAACAGGGTTGTGTGAATAATCAAATTGCAATTGCGATTTGAACCATTGTGATTAGCTAATCGCAAGAGCCTACTATATGAAATTTATATTATATAAATTCCCCCACGCAGAGCAAGTGCGTAACTGCTGTCTGTGCGTGTCAGTCTTACTAACCAATTGAGTGAGCACACTTTTGTTCTGCCCAATCAGAATTGCGCAACTGAACTATGCGGAAAGCACACAATAAAATAAACAAACAGGAAAGTGTGAACATGTGGCATGATGATGTCTGCTGCTTCAGAAGCACTAATTGACAAAGACAAACAGCACGTTGGTAATATGGGAATATTTTGGTTTCAAAGTCATAGACACCGAACAAAAGCAGGTAATTTATGAGAGCTGTAACAGAATTGTTGCCAACTAGCACAAGGAAATACAACAAGCAGCACCTAAAAAAGCTCCACAGGCGGCTATATGAGATGTGTCTTGCTAAAAAGTTAACTGAAAGTATTGCCAGTGACACTCGATCTAGTAGCAAGCAACAGCAAAGTACAATTTCAGAGTTGTTTGCGGCTGTTACACCATATGAAATAACATCACAAAGGTACCAGGAGATAACTAACGCCATAACTCGCTACTGTTTGCTCTAGAGAAAAGTTTGTGTTTAATTTCTCAATATTTATAAACAAGTTTCAATAAATGTTGGCGTGAGATAATATCTTTTCAGTTTTGTTTTTAATGAACACTCACTGCGTTTTAGCAGTAAAGGCTGATTTATACTTTTGCGTCAAACACCGGCGTATGCTACGGTGCTGACGCATAGCCCTTCGCCGTGGGCGTCGCCGTCACTGACGTGCACCTCTTAAAAAATGTAACTACACGTCGCAATGACGCGTAGCATAAGCTCTGTGATTAATCGGCTTGGTAGCGCTGACGAGTCTGGGCGGGACCGAGAGCCGCGCGAATGGCGCGATCGATTCTTTACAAGTGTGGAGTCCCGTGAAGAAGCTCCGGATGGATAGTTTTGTTTTGTGTTTACCTCATAGTTAAAGTTGTTGCACGTCCGCTGGTTCCTGTCTCAAAATGAGCAAGTTTGAGCCACTTGTACATCCCGGAAGTGTTCAGGAAAAGCAAAATAGCAGCGTAGAAACTCAACACAGAGAAACATTTACACCTCACTGCCAACTAGCGTTTCGGAAGTGTTAATGCAGACCGACAAAGACAGCGCGCAGAAGTATAAATGCACAGCCACGCGCGTTGCATGCGCCGTGAGTTTCGCCGGTCACCTGACGCAGAATTATAAATCAGGCTTAAGAAGCTACAATACAGAATATTGAGTTGAAGCTTGACTACAACATTAAATCACAAATCAAATCGAAATCGCAATATCTGTTACAAAAATCGCCATTAGATATTTTCCCCAAATCGCACAGCCCTAGTTTAAAAATATCTGCTAACTGTAAAACTAATAATTGTATAATTATTTATAGGCCATAAAGTTAGTGTAATGAATAAAATAATTACACTGTAATAAACTAATAAATGAATGCCCTTTTTGCACATTGCCGGACATTTAGTTGCAATAAAGTCCAAAGTACACCACGATTTTTATTTTGAATGGCTGTACTATCTCTGGTTGCTTATTCAGACTAAAATAAAGTAGAAAAAAATCTGTAATGTTCAATGCTGGGATCAAACACTTTTTACTCATATTTTTGATACCACAATCAGCCGTGCAGGCAATGCTTCAGAATCCATTGACCTAGTCTTTCAGTAATGATAACAAAAATTACATCTGCCAATTTGATTGAGGCAGCAGTAAAAATGGATCTGATGCATTGAGCCAATTGTGTGTGTGTGTTTGTGTTCCAGGTCTCAGAGAGTACAAGCAGTCTGAATGAAACCCTGATGGAGGGTTTGGTGCAACTGGAGACCGTGTACTCGAAGCAGACAGACTACCTGTCCATCGTCCAGAAACTGCAGGGCCAGCTAGACGAGCTCATCAATCTGATGCTGGGGGTGCCTTTCTGGAGCAGTAATGATCTGTCTTTGGATCACCTGGCCTCCATCACTGAGCAGTATGACTGGTACAGGTAATTACCAAGTCAAGACATTATCCCATCCTCATATAATGAGCTGACATTCAGAAATTAGTATGACGTGATGTTCAAAAGCATTGAACATCACACACACAACAGTTTTTCTGTAATACCTGCTTTGGGATGACTTTATAAAGATGATCATATATATGTTGTGTGTGTATTTTGTAGGTGGTTGGGTTATCTGGGCCTGCTGCTCTTTGATGTCATAATCTGCCTCCTTGTTTTGGTCGGTCTCATACGCAACTCTAGAAGCATCTTGATTGGGTAAGTGCAAAAATTATTTACCTGGGATTAATTAATATTTCACACTGTAGCCTCCCCTGAGTCTGTCACAAAAACTGGTCTGTTTTTTGTACCATAAAAAAGAGTTTTTTTTTTGTCTGTTAGACACTTCTTATTAATACAGAATATTATTTAAAATAATTTGTTTTAATGTATTAATTTAAAAAGCTGTAATAAAAAAATATTAGACTAATAACTTGATTAAAAAATATAAATAAAAATTATAGACGTTAAATAAAAAATCTAAAATTTCCAAAAAACTGTAATAAAAATGAATTATATGTAAATATTTAACGAAAAACTAAATAATCAAAATAATTAAATGAAAAATTATATAATACATTTTTTTTTAAATATAGCTAATAATTTCCATTAAAAAATGCAGTAATAATAATAATAAAATTAGAATTTTTTTTTTTATTTATCAATTAATAGGTGTTATTGAATTTAGCAGGATCAGTGCTTAATTTGTGAATTGCGTGGTCCCGGAACAGATCTGGGTAACAGATCTGGGTAACAGATCTGGCATGTTACCCGAGGATGGAGAGGTGTCGCGAACGAAAGTGGGCGAGGCGGGGGTGTCGCGGACAACAGTCGGGGGACAGGTGAGAAGGGCGGTTGAGGAGGGGGATCGGTAAAATGAGGTGCCGGATCAGATTTCAGAAGTGTGTTCCGGCACAAATTAAGCCATGAGCAGGATGATTAGAAATGTAACAAAGAAAAGAAAAATAAGTTGGGAATTGATCTGGAATTTAACTGAACACGCCAATGATATGAGTAAATGGAAATAACTTTGACTCACAACTAAAATATTGAATTGCATGGAAAAAGACTGAATGTTGATATACATGTAGGAATGGGACGATAACTGTTTTCAAGATATACCGCGGTTTGGAAAAGTCAAGGTTTTAAAACTGCCAAAAATTTCTGTAATACCATTCTTAAGGTACGTGTAAGATTTTTTATTTAAATTTTTTTTTTTTTTTTTTCCATTTTTTTTAGGTCAATAATATCTCCAGCGGAAAAATATCTAAAGATGCTGTTTTAAATTGTAATGAAATTTGTGTTTTTGATGCAAAGACAGCAGAAGTCAATGATTCATTTGAACTATTTAGCTAAACATGTTTGCTTCAAAATATCATAAATCTTTCAAAAATAGAAAATATTGTTTTCAAAGGGGAAAAAAGTTTTTGAAAAGACATTTAAAAAGAATATATTTTTGAGCAGTGAGCACAATACCGTGATACCGTGAAACCGTGATATTTTCCAAGCCATGATTTATCCAAGGTTATTATACCGTCAGAATCTCATACCAGCCCATGCCTACTGTTTATACAGGATCACATAATTCCAAGGTAAATCAAAAAGGGGGCTTCGTGTTTTCCTGGTGCATTGCAGGAGGTGCCTCTGGTTAAAGTCCTCCACCTGACTGTACAGTTTTTTTTGTTTTTTTTTGTTTTATAAATTTCAGGCTTGGCAATCGTTGTGTGAAAAAGCCTATTTTTAGCCTGTAACTATGCAAAATTGAGATTCATTCTCTGAAAGCTTTTAGAAATGGAGAGGGAGAGAGAAGCAGCACGAATCAGAGAGAGGGGAGAGATGGATTCAGGCAAAACACAATCTATTTAGTGTTTGAGGGAGGGTGAAGATCTTCCCTTGATTCCCTCTGACTCACTTTCTCACTCCTGCAGCAATTAGACACCTCCTCCTGCGTGTTTGTTTGTGTTTGTATTAGTGTTGGACGTCGCATGTGTATCTTGAAGCACATTTGGTCAGTGGGAGGATGTCTGAATCCCCAGAGATGTTTACTAAATGGGTTACTTACCAGGAGCCTAAACAAGTTTTAAAAGAAACTAACCAGAAAAAAAAAAATCCATCAGCAGTGCAGAAATTTTTAGACTTTGGTGACTGGAATAATAGCTAGGTGCACATCCGACTAGTCACATGACTAAAAGATGACTCCACAACATTAAAATGAGATTAAAATCTACAACTTTAAATCAGAAAAATTTGGGACAGTATGGAAAACGCCAATAAAAAAGAAAGTAGGGATTTCTAAATTTACTTTGACTTGTATATCCTTGCAGACAAAACATTATTTAAAAATCCTCATGATTTTTATTGTTTATTTTGTCTTTAATAAACACATATTCTAATTTTGGTTCTTGCGACACATTTTTAAAAAGTTGGAACAGTAAAGCTTTTGTCATTTTGTAATGTTGAATGCTTTTCACAAAACCTAAAAGACATTTGGGGACTAAAGACACCAAGTGATAATTCAGGTGTAATTTTGTCCCAGTCTTCCTGCAAACAAATCTTAAGGTGGTGTTCACTGTCGCATTTTGCGCTTCAAAATGAGCCACACATTCTCTATTGAAGACAGGTCGGGACTGCAGATAGAAATCACCACTTTCTTTGAAACTCAAGAAATCACTACTTGTCCCAACCTTTTCTAATTTGAGTTTGCTGTATGTCTTCTGTCATACATGCAACTCATTAAAGGGTCACGAAACACCAAAACACATTTTTTGAGCTGTTGACAGTGGTATATGTGTCCCACACTGCTAAAAACACTATTAGGACACCTATATTTCACTAAAAAGTGTAAATTGGTTGTTTTTGCGTTATTTCAAGCAAATTCGTACTTCCTGTTTGAAACGAATTTTTGAAGCTGCGTCACGGTCATGACATAATAGCGTGTATTCCAGCGTGCAGACTGGGCGTCTGTGCCAGAGTGTGCCTTATTACGTCTCACAGTGTGATGCATTAATGCATGAGTAAGGGTTGGTTCAAACCAATCAGCGCGCTCTATTGTGCAACTTCATTAATATTCATTAGTGTCACCGTCTTTACACCACAGAGACGCCACGTTGTGTTGGCAAAACAAGCGTGAAGTGTTGCTTTTACAGTTTGCTGCCATTAAGTTTCGTTTTCATTTTCTCTCTGTGAGAGCTCTTCTGGATCACGTGTGGATTACAGTGTACGCGACGCTCAACAACAATAATTTACGTGTCTAAGGAGGATTATTGTTTACCTGAGAGCTGTTCTCATCTGCAAACGCTAAAATCCGGATTCCGGATGTAGTCTTCTCTTCATAAAGACGCGGCTCTAGTTGCTGGTGATTGTCCTGTCTCTACAGATTTGGTAAGTGAGTGACCAGTGCTCTTTGTTTATTCAGTTTGTTCGTATCAAATAAGTTAACTATTGCATTGAGTGCAAACATGTTAGCACCGCATTTTGTGACCGGAATAACACACGCGGCTTTCGGACGCTACCTGCCGTGTGCATCTAAGTTTCCGGGAAATGCGGAGGGTTTTTTTCTCTCATTCGCCGTGCGGTATCAAACATTGCATGAAAAATACACGCATAGAGCAGACCTTCGAATCAAATATCTCATTTGTCGCGAGGGGCATGAATGAATTCCCTGAATGAAAGAGCCAAACTGCAGTTAAAGTCCAACATTTAATAATTTGGCAAATAATTCGACTACAGATGTCCATTTAGGTTAAACACCATCCCTTTCTCCTGTGTATTTTGACTGAAACTCGCGCGTGCCCAAATAGACACTCCCACACCCTCCCACTTTAGTTTCTCCGACACTCCCCCCTAAACAGAGCTGGACACCCCCACTTTTCTGACTTTTTCCAAAGAAGAGGTGTGAAAACACCCTGCTGAAACGAGGGGGTTTCATGGCCCTTTAAACACTGATTTAAACACTTTTTCATACTGATTTAAAAACAATTCTGTGCTAATGAATTTTGCTGTTTCTTTTGTTCAGTGTTTGTTTTCTAGGTGTGCTGACGCTGGTTATCAGCTGGGCTTCACTTGGGCTTGAGTTTTCTTTTGCTGTGGTGAGTAAATTTAGCATCTTTAATTTTATTGACCTTCATGCTCATTTCTGGTTGTCTCTGTGGAAATCTAAAGAGCCAGATTATATTATTATATTATTAGTACTACCATTATATGTAATGAAATAAGTATGTGCACCAGTTTGGGGTCAGTAAAATTTGTGAAGAAGTACCTTATACTTATCAAGGCTGAGCTTATTTTTTATTAAAAAAAAGTGCAATTGTTTTATTATCATGTCTTATCAGCAGTGCTGAGGCTCAAGCCTTCAGGGGGCTAAGCATCCAAAGCAGGATTTTATTTGGTGGCCCCTGGTGCAACCAATATGACAAATTATCATTAACCCTCATTTATTCCTGCACTTTAAATCTAAAAAACGCATTAACAAGTTTATTCGGTGTATCTGTATTACTTTCACCATACAATATTTTTGTTTGAGACGATTCTACATTTTATTCTGCAGAAACAACTATTGCCTAGATCAGAGGCGAGCAAACTCGGTCCAGGAGGGCCGGTGTCCAGCACAGTTGAGCTCCAACCCTAATTAAACACACCTGAACATGCTAATCAGTGTCTTCAAGATTACAAGAAATCTAAAAGCAGGTGTGTTGGCTAATGTTGGAACTAAACTGTGTAGGACACCGGCCCTCCAGGACCGAGTTTGCCCACCCCTGGCCTAGATGTAGCCCAGATAATTCCACTTTTAATATGACTACTTGCCACAAAACTTAACAATTAGGCACAAAACAATAATCTGAGCTGTAATTAAAGTTGACAGAAAGAAAAACAGCTGCATGCAGACTATAACATTCTTCTTATTGTTATTCAGACACAATATGGCATCAAACAATCAAGAATAACAGCAATTAAGATGAACATTTAAAATCCATATCAATGTTTACACTGCTCAAATGATTTTCTTACTTATAGTTGATTTTTTTTTTGTTATAGTTTGTATTGTTTCTTGTCCAAATGTCTAAAAAAAACTTAAATCAGGAAGCATTTTCTAGACAAAACTGAAATAATAATTAAAAAGTATTATTTTTTTTCCTTTAAAACAAGCTAATCAATCTGCTAATGAGTTTAGTAAAAAAAAATCTTATTTTAAACCATAAACAATATTATTTTACTTACTTTTTAAGGAAAAACACATAATTTTGAGTAAAAATCTTTTTAGAAAATGCTCATTGGTTTAAGAGTTTAAAATATTTGTACTATTTTAGAATAATTTGATGTTTGCATTGTTATGCTAACTTATTTTGAATCATGCTTTTTATTTTAAATACACACATTTCTTAGTTTGTCCACAATCTTGCATCTCTGAGTAATTAAACGTGTTTCTGTTTTTTTGCCTGTATATAGTATTTGAGTTTTTGCTTTATGTATGTGGGTGTTTCATGTGTTGTTCTGTTCCTCAGGGTGCCAGTGATTTTTGTGTTTCTCCTGACTCTTACATCACCAAAGTGACACGTGAGAACGCCGTTATCAACCAAGGTATGTGCTCCCCCAAGTCAGGTCCATGTTATTTGTCTTTTGCACAGTTTAAACAAGAGTCACTGGACATTGAAATTCTGGTGACAAGGCTCTGATCACAAGAAAAAGGCATGTACAATTATAGAAAATGATAAACAGCTGACAGGGTGTAATAATACACAAAACAACATTTCAGCGATGAAACTGAACCAATTTTTCTTTTTTTGCTTACTGAACAAATTGTTGCTTTAAATGCATTTTAACATAATTCTATATTACTTGCACATTACTAAAATATAAAACTCTACAATTAACAGCAGAGCCCAAATTATTTTGTTTAATTGCTATGTATTTCAAGATATAATAATGACCACAAAAATATGTTAATAAAGGCAGTTATAGTTAAATTTAGATGTTTACATTAACATTTATATCTGTCAAAAATTGTTTCTATTCCACTATAATAATTTACACAGTGGCTTGCATAATTTGTTTTCAAACCATATTATAATCATTTTATCATTTAGTCAAACGTGTACATTAGATAATCTCAGACTGAGAAACTAGACATAGTGTTGGTTTCATACTGATTACTTTATCAAACAATATTTGTTTTCAACATACTCACTGCATTTAAAAGTAGACACTTCAAGCTTTCTAAAAATATGTGTCTCATGTCTGTGTGTTTTGTTTTCGTGGAGTTTCAGTGCATTTTACTGATGTGTTTCTAAAAACAGTTCGCAGAGACAGAAAAGAGAAAATGCCTGCACTGTTTATTATCCTTTTTTTGCAAAAGCACACACGTTTGTTGTCATTGTTAGTGTACATAATAAAAACTAGACACCGAACAGATTAGATTGGTGTATTGATCTTATCTGAACGATCAAAACTGAAAGTGTAATTTAAGTTCATTTCAGCGTTGAGAAGAAGACGCATCCAAACACGTATACGCGGTCTTCGACCCCTGGGGGTTAAGTCATTAACCGGTTAAGTAAACTATAATAAATGTTTAGACCTCATTTCTTTAGTGAACTACAAAGCTGTAGACACTGAATGACTTCTCTGAGGTAAATGTAATGCTCCATGACACATTGTTTACAATCCCTTTTTATTGGATTTTTTATGACTGAGACATTGATTGAGCAGTTACGAGACATGCGATATTCCTTCATTCATGTTTTTTATGCTACTGTATATATAGACAAAACAGAAAAATTTGGTTAAATTTCTAGTAGGGCTTTAAATCTGACATTGCAATATTGCATATGTAATTTGTTTTTCTACGATATACAGTTGAAGTCAGAATTATTAGTCCCCTGAATTATTAGCCCCCTGTTTATTTTTTCCCTAATTTCTGTTTAACGGAGAGAAAATTTCTTTCAACACATTTCTAAACATAATAGTTTTAATAACTCATTTCTAATAACTGATTTATTTTATCTTTGCCATGATGACAGTAAATAATATTCTATTAAATATTTTTCAATACCACTTAAAGTGACATTTAAAGGCTTAACTAGGTTAGTAAGGTTAACTAGGCAGGTTAGGGTACTTAGGCAATTTATAATCATGGTTTGTTCTGTAGACTATCAAAAAAAATATATAGCTTAAAGGGGCTAATAATTTTGTCCTTAAAATGTTTTTTAAAAAAATTTAAAACTGCTTTTATTCTAGCCAAAATAAAACAAATAAGACTTTCTCCAGTAGAAAAAAATATTATCAGATATACTGTGAAATTTTTCTTGCTCTGTTAAAAATCGTTTGGGAAATATTAAAAAAAGAAAAAAGAAATTCAAAGGGGGGCTAATAATTCTGACTTCAACTGTATATTAAGATGATTGAATGGCTCAATTTGGAAAGAATTTATGAATGTATATTGATAGAGATGGTTTTGTAAGGCAGTGAATCATGCATAACATTAAATAACCAATAGGAAGCCTCATCAAATACAAAAAAGCAAAGATTAAAGTGAAATAAACAGTGCTTTATGGTTCTCTGGCAAAACAGTATTCGGGTACAGAAATTAAATAAATCTGAATAATCAATCTTTGGGTTTTAAAATTGATATTGATCCATTAAAATTAAGATAAGTAACTGTAACAGATGCTCTATGTGAGCCAACTGCCATTATATATACTGTATGTGATATGAGAGATCAGACTGAAGAAAGTACTACATTTTATACACTGAACTAGCAGCACATATCTTTGCATATCAAGTTTTGAACTCAATACTCCCCTCAGAAACTGAGCACATTCATAGACGCTTTCATACATTCATTGAAACGTCCTGCAGCATTGCTATGCAGAGGAGGCTTTCTTAAAGGGTGTTTCTGCACAAAGCAGGTTTTGTATCCTGCTCTCAGACCTTGGCTTTCCTGGACAGACATGAATGTCATTGCTAATTAGTTCCCACAGGGGATGCGATTCATGACCCTCTCAGCCTCTACTTAACACATTCACAATCAGCACTCATTCACATTTGCATAGACACTTATGATTGGCCATTGAACGCATTCATTTTCTCTTTTGAAGGTAAGAGAATTGCAGGTGTGTCACCTCTGTGTGTTTACTTCCTAATTTTGTGTATTCATTTTTGTGTAGCTAAATAATACTCTACCGCTCCAAGGTTTTAGTTTTTTCTAAGAAATAATAATTTTATTTATCAAGGATTATTTAAATTTATTTAATTTATGTACATTAAAAGTATCACCGTTTTCAAAATAATAATAATCCACGTAAATGGATAAATTTACAACCCTAATTCATAAGAGCACCACTAAATCAGCGTATAAATATATAAATGAAGGCAAGATCATTAGCCCTCATGTGAAATTTACACATTTTTGAACGTAATACATAGTTTTAATAGCAA